ACACAGGATTAAAAATCCTTAACAAAATATGAGCCGACAAAATTAAGCAACATACAAAAGGAATTCTATACCATGATCAAGTAGGGTTATCTTAGGAATGTTAAATTAGTTCAATATCCAAAAATCATGTCATGTAATACACCATCTTAATAAAGAAAAAACTACAGGATCATCCAATAGCTGCAGACAAAAAACATTTGACAGAAATCAACATCCACTGATTATTTAAATTTCCAGCAAACCAAGAATAGAAGACAATTTCCTCAATGTGATAAAGGGCATATAAAATTCCTGCCCTAAAATCTGATGCAAGATTAACCCTTTCTAAAATTGGTAACAAGGTAAGGATGTCTGCTCATCTCTCTTGTACTCAGTGTAATTCTGGAAGTTGAAGCTAGTGTAATAAGGCAAGGAAAAGAAGTCAAAGGCATACAAATTGCAAAGGAGGAAGTAAAACTGTCTTTATTACCAGATGGTATAATAGCTACGTAGAAAATATGGAGTCTACAAAAAGCCTCCAGACCTAAAATGTCAGTTTAATAAAATTGCAGTGTACAAAATTAAAAATGAAAAACAAATGCGTTTCTATATATTAGCAATAAATAACCTGAAAAGACCTAAAAATTCCACTCACAGTAACATCAAGAATAAAATAGCTTGAAATAAATTGAACAAAAGTACAAGATCTATGCATGGAAAACTACAAACCATTCCTGAGAGAAATAAAGATCCAAGTAAGTGAAGACATACACTGTATTTATGAAATAAGAGGTTCAACGTCAAGTTGGCAATTTTCCACAAATTATCCTATAGAGTCAATGTAACACACAAATCTCAGCAGACCTTTTGTGTAACAAAATAATTAAAAAGGCAATCCTAGGCCAGGCACAGTGACTCATTCCTGTAATCCCAGCTCTTTGGGAGGTAGAGGCAAGAAAACTGCTTGAGCTCAGGAGCTCTAGACCAACTGGGAAACACAGATTTCATCACTAAAAGAAAAACTAAAAAAATTTACAGTGGCACATGCCTGTAGCCCTACCTACTGGAGAGGCTGAGGTGAAGGATCACTTGAGCCCAGGAGTTTGAGGCTGCAGTGAGTGATGATTGCACCACTGTTCTGTAGCTTAGACCACAGAGTGAGACCCTGTCTCTTAAAACAAAACAAAACGATAAAACAACAGAAAACAAAAATGAAAAAACAATCCAATCCTAGAGTGTCTATGGAAATGCAAAGGACCTAGAATAGCCAAATTATTTTGAAAAAGGAGAAAAAGTTGGAGGACTGACACTCTCTGGCTTTAAGATGTAATAGAAAGCTAAAGTAACCTAGAGAGCATGGTATGATAACAAGAATAGACAGACAGATCAATGGAACAGAATAGGGCATCTAGAAATAAACCTGCACATTTATGTTAATTAACTTTTGACAAAAGTGTCAAGGGAATTCGGTGAAAATAGCTTTTTCAACAAATGGTGCTAGCACAGTTGGATATACATAAGCAAAAAAACCCCAAACAACAACAAAAAACAACAACAAAAAGAAAACTTAGGTTCTTATTTCACAGTATATGTAAAAATTACCTGAAAATTGTTTATAGACATAAATGAAAGAGCTAAAGGTATACAATTTTTAGAAGAAAACAGGAGAAATCTTGGGTCAGACAAAGAGTACTTAGATCCAACACGAAAAGAATGATCCATAAAGAAAAAAAAACTTGATAAATTGGATTTTATCAGAATTAAACACTTGTGTGCTTCAAAGGCATCATTAAAACAAATGAAAAGACGAGCCATAGACAGAAAATACCTGTAAATCACATAGCTTATAAAGGAAGAACTTTTATAACTTAATACAACTTACAAGAACAGACAGCTCAATCTAGGCAAATTATTTGAATAGACATGCTACTGAAGAAGATATATGAATGCTAATAAACACATGAAAACGTGGTAAACATGTAAAAGGATTAGAGAAATGTAAATTAACACCACATAAAGGCGTCACTACATGCTCATTAGAATAACTACAATAAAAAAGACTGATTATACCCAATGTGGGCAACAATGGGCAGAAATTGGAAACCTTGTACAACAGCCACTTTGGGAAACATTCTATTTCTTAACAATTTAAATACATATTCTTCTTATAGCCAAGCAATACCACTCCTAGGTATCTACTCAAGAAAAATAAAAACATAAGCACACACAAACATTTGTATCCAAATGTTTATAACATGATTCATAAATATCAGAAAATGAAAACAAATGTCCATACACTAATGAATGGACACAAAAATGTAGTGTATCTATACAATGGAATACCATGCAGCCATAAAAGAAACAAACCACTTACACCTACACTGGCACGGGTAACTCTCAACAGCATTAAGCCAAGTAAAATATTATGTACTGCTTGATACCATGTATAAAAAATTATAGAAAGACAAAACTATTCCGAAAGCATATTAGTGGCTACCTCGGCCTTTGGGGGAACTTGGGATGATGGATGTTCTAAGGATTATGACTGTTGCACAACTATATCATTTTAGCAACTTAGCATACACTTACATTGGTGAATGTTTTGGTGTGTAAATTACACCACACGGTGTGTGTAAAACAAATATCAAAAAACCAAGGTATTTTAAGGTAACACGTATGTATACCATCCCATCTATATTAAATACACTACATATATTCAGACATGTGTTAGTAGACTACAAACTTTCTGAGAATATACATACAAAAAACATTTGCCTTTGGGAAAAAGGACTGAAAGTCTGGGATAGGAGAGAAAATTACTTTCATTTTATACTTTTAGATATTATTTGCTTTAAAAAAGTTAAACCATGTACATTATTACTTTATAAATTAAAAACTCTAGTAAATAATTAAACACAACTGACCAACCATGGTCCTGATATAAGGACCCAGGCCTGCGACTCCGTTCTTGAGTCTGCTTATCTCAATGAGGCCGTAGGTACTTCTGAGTAGCCCATAATAAGATAAAGAGAATTTCCTCACATAAACATGGTGCTACTTCCTATTAATTTCAGAGAGATGAGCGCAAATTGTGGGAATTAGGGGAAACTCAAGAGATTTTCGACTAGAAGTACTTAAAGCTTCACAGCAGACTGCAGTTTGCTATATGCTAGCCAAAAAACAAAAGCAAGTCCTTCATCTGCAAACACAACTTTGATTACTTGTGGAATAAATGAGGGGCAGGGGAAAAGTGTGAATAGGGTAGCCTAGCTGATAGGCATGAAATGAATGTTTTCAGGAAAGTACAAATTACCATATTGTAAATTAGGGATGTCAGAGTACCTTTTTTACTGCTATGTCATGATTTTAGAAGAAGCTGTATATGAAAAATGTGTCCAAATTTGTTTCTATGAATCATGCAGTGGATACTGTACAGTGATTTTGTAATACCATTTAATATTAAGAACTTGTTGCAAATATTTGATTTTCAATTGGACATTATGAAGATATGGCTATTTAATTAGGAATGTTTATTTTAATCTTAAATAATGGGAGAAATTAAAATATCCTGCCAACATTTAATTATCAGCATTCAAGTGCTATTTTGTAACAATGCCTTGAGACCGTCAAATTTGATTGTTTCGCTCTCATATAAATTTACCTTTTAGTACAGAAACGTAAGATTTTATAGAGTGCTGCTCACAAATGCCTGGTATTTGCTGTGCATTTCCAAGCAAGAAATCAACAACGCAATACTTGCTTGAAGGAAAAACACCTGCAGAGAGGACCAAATAAATTCATAAAAGGTGCTTCTTTCTTTCAGCTTTGACTGCCTTCACTTGCATTTGAAACTGACAGAGTTTCAGGCTGTTTTGAGTGCTTTAAATAGGCAACCACTCGTTTGTTACATGTGTGTTTTTCATGCATGAGTTCCTCACTGTACTGTTACTTCTGACTCATCCATGCTGAAACTTCGTTGTTAATTTAGACTCAACAGACATTTAGTGAGCATCTGTTGGGCTACAACACTACCACTGGGTTAGGTAGTAGTATTATCCCATTGTAGCAGATGACATGGTTGAGGCTCATTGACTTTCAGTGTCCTAAGTCCACAAATTGGCAAATGGGAAAACCAGGACTTAACCTGATCCCTTTCCTTTGCACTCTGTTTTTGAGTATCCTCTTTATCTGTGGCCCCTTCCCTCCCTTCTGTCTCCAGGTTCACTGGTCATCAAGAGCAAAGCAGCAGAGATGTGGAGAAGGGATCCTGTGCTTTACCCCGTTTTCTTCCCCACACAGAAGGTAGAGGGGAAGAAACATCCAGGGCTCTAGCGCTTTACCACACTCTGCACTGTTGCTATTCCCATACTGCACCCAGGACACTCAGCCCAGAACTTCAGCCCTCACCCTGTTCTGTAACTTTCTTTCCAGGTCGTGGGAGGCACTATGGGTAATTGTTAACAGAGCAGTCCCTGTAGTAGCAGAAGTGTCCTGAACAACACCATTCCAGACTCTGAAAAGATGTTTCACCAGCAGCACAGCTCCCACAGCTCTCACACTTCTTGGTCTTTCTGACTGTGCTTGGGTTTGGTAGGGGTTGAATCAGCTTCCACCTGTTAGCCTGGAAACCTAAGCATGATTCAAAGCATTACTTCCATCCTAAAAGCATGTTTTTTCATTGAATCAATGGGAAATCGGTTTGAGTTCTCCACAACTGATACATGAATGAACTTTTGAAACACATAGTTGGGGATTTAATCTTTACCCTCCAACTTTCTATCAATATATTTGTAAGGCTGAAAGAACTATTATTGTGTTTAACACAAAATAGAAAAAGATGTATTCTCAGAATTCAAAAACACAGCTTCCTTTAACCCATGTTTTTCTCACTTACTTTTTAACCTTTATTTTTTAAAGTATAATTTCATTCAACTCCAAGGAAATCTCCATCTTAGCAATATTATTAAAGGATCCTACTACTTTACCCACACATTTTATTGCTGAGCCAGTGTTTGTCTTACCTCCTCGATGGATAATCAAAGAAGTTTCACTTCCAACGGGACAGTCCTTAAGTATATCCACTACTTCTGTATGGCTCAGGTTCTGTACATTCTGCTGGTTGATCTCAACAATGAGGTCACCTTCACACAGGCCAGGGCATCCCTGAATGTCAAGTATTTGTTTGACCCGCTGTCCTGTAGGACTGTCAGCAATAGTAAAGCCGAAGCCCTGGGCACCTTTCACAATGGTTAAGGTCATAAGTTCAGCTTGGGTGGCCCCAGATGAAGCCATAGACACATTGTCATCATGGACGGGCGGTGGATACGTGCCATCTAGCTGACCATCAGCTGGCATGGAGTGCAAAGAATGAGACGGCCGATCTGTTATATCAGGAACCGACTGTGAGGTCCGAGAAATGTATTCCAAATATGTTTCATAGTTATGTCTTCCATTGACCATCACTGGAGGCGGCCTCTCCATTATTGCGAGGGGTGGCACCATGCTGTTAGCAGGGTCTTCAGGATCAAAGGGCAAAGGGTAGCCACGACACAACACCAGGTTGACACTCTGACCAATAGGAACAGACTGGAAAAGTTTGACAACATCTGCGTGAGTGTGTCCAAGGACACAAACTTCATTAATATAGACAATGACATCACCTGTAAGAAAAAAAGAGATTGACAATATGAAGTAAGTTCAATTAATGTTGACATAGAGAAACGGAATTATTTATGAGACTAGAGAGAGATGCTGTTTCTCAGTAAGCAGTGAGAAAATCAATTAGAATAATACTTAAAATCATTGTAGGTGACTCAAGGTTACAACAGGGCTGCCAACAGATATAATAATCAGACGCTAAAAAAAATAAGCTATTTGGTTATTCTCGAAGTTCAGCAACAACTTCACATTCAGAAAAAAGACTGTGAAAGAAAAGGCTATAGGAATTTGTACCTTGAAGAAATACATGCTCTGTGCTTCTTTTTTATCTTAATTTCCATCTTCAGTGTAATTCAGTTAATAGAATTTTCAAACTACTGAGACGTAGTGGTCATGAGTTTTAGATGAAAAAGCCATCTAGCTGACCGTAAGCTATAGGTGTGTGTGTGTGTGTGTGTGTGTGTGTATTTTTGTATAAGTCAATTGCCTTTTTCCTTTTTTATGGAAGAGAAAAATATTTGCCCATTTATGTTTTTCCATCTATAGTAGGTAATTACAAAGCTTCCATGTATATGTGAGCAAAGGTTAAGAATTCAGGTTTTGGGATTAGGGAGGTGGGTTCACATCTTGGCTCTACTACGTAACAGATATGTGATACTGAGCGAGTTACTTACCTGCTTTGAGCCACAGTTCCTCATTTGTAAAGTCGTGAGAATGAAATGACATAATATAGGAAAAGCACTTGGCATAATGTCTGATGCACAGTGCTCAATAAATGTGGACTATTATTAATATGACTGTTGTTAAAATAGGATGGAGGAGATTTGGGACCCTTGGTTTCAAACAGAAAGCTGCCAGAGCTCATCCTTCAATCTTAGATAAACTAATATTTCTGTTGATCATTTTCAGTAAAGGCATTTGTCCTTTCCCCCAAGTGAATTATCACAGATTTTCAGAGGTCTACTGGTTAGAAGCTAATTTTATGATTAGAAATGCCCTGAATACAAATTATTCATTATAAAATACATGCAGAGAAACATTTTTTCCTGCTTAAAATGCAGAAAATCATGGCTGTTTGAGATAAATGTTTTAAAAAATTTCAATTATGTATGAATAACAATTTTATTTTTGAAGAACTATTTTACCATGGACTGGTATTTTTATCTTTGCAAACCATAATACTTGAAAATTGAACTTGCGAATTGAGATTGTGCCTGACTATGCTGAGGAGTATATTAGGGATGAAAAGACATGTTTTCACAGATTGTCAAATAAGCGACTCAACAGACATCCATTTATCAGAATAATTCTGGAATGGGAGATACAAATGGCTAGGGATTCCATTCTGAGACATCTTTGCCCATCAAGCTTGCAAACATAAAAAATGAAAAACAGAGTTGAATTTTTAGCATTGAATACTTTTCTGGTCTTTTGTAGGTGTATAACATAAATAAAACAACGAACAGCACTGTTTTAGTTAACAGTCCCTTTTCCCAAATGCTAGGAAATTGTTTGAAAGTGCTAAAGATTGACAGACAAAGGCCAAACAGACATTTTCAGGAATCCAGGTTAGGTCTGCCTCTAGAAAATGTCACAACCTATGTGATTGATCGGATGGAACTTTACCTTTCCATAATGTCTATCAGAGAGGGTACTGATAGGGTGGCTGGAACATGGGTCCAGGGCTCAGAACTGAATTGGAGTGGACATTCCCTTTCTTCTATGATAATTCCTCATCAGACTGTGGCAGCTGGAGATGCTTTGGGCCTCCTTTTCAATTGATTCTGTTCATCTGAGTGTCCCAGACAAGGGTCTGATTCAGATAGATTATTTTTTCTCCTCCTGTTTCTTTTCGTTTTAATGTTATATTTTCCATATTTAAAAGGTTGAAAGAACAATACCTGTATATTAGCATCCAACTCAATGATTAGAACATTGCTCTTATTAGTTTAATCCCCCTTAGCTAGCACCTCTCCCCACACTTGTATTCCTTTACAGCCCTTTCCAAGGTAACCATTGTCCTCCTTGAGGTTTGTTATTTACATATACTTTATAGTTTGTCATATCTAGGTGTCCATAAAAAAGTATCTCTAAATAGTATCTAATCCCTAAATAATTCCTAGAAAGTATTTTATATATTTTAAGCCTTTTGTAAATGGTATCTATTTTAATATTCTGTAATTTTCTTTGTGATATTTATCTGTTTTGATACTTGTACCTCTAGTTCATTAATTTTCACTCAGTATAGTATATATTGATGGCTATATTACTACTCAGTAACATTCATCCATTCTTCTGTTAATAGACCCTGGAGTTATGACAACTTTTTGGTTATTGAAAAGAACTCTGCTGTGAACCCCCTGCTGGTTCAGACCATGTGCATCTTCAACTTTGTTAGATATGGCAAATGGGTGATAAAAGAGGTCATAATAATTTACACTCCCATTGGTAGTGTGTTGAAATTTTCATTGCTCTACATCTGACACAGTACTTGGTATTATTCTCAGACTTTACTAATCTAATGAGTGTGATGATAGTTTTGATTTGCATTTTCCAGATTGCCAGTAAGGATGAGCATCTTTTCATGTTTATTGGCCATTTGGATTTTCTCCTGGGTATGCCTCATTTCCTCAATCTTTCTATTCAGTGGGGTTTTTTTTTTTTTAACTCATTGACTCTTTTTGATGTCTACCTTCATTCTTGGTCCAACATTCTCCACAGGTTTGGGAGGCTGCAAGGATAATAGAGATCACGTGGGATATGAGGTCAAAAGACTTTGGTCTGAGTTCTAGTTTCGTCACTTATTAGCTGTATAACTTTCCCAAACTGGCTCAAATCCTCCGTGACTCAGATTCTTTAGAAGTAATGATGAACAATAGTAATAGCAACTTACTGTTCTATGGGAAATAATGAATGAGATCATACAGGTGAAAGGGTTTCTAAGCTGTAAATTATTATGCATAAGATGATTGCTATTTCAGTAATGAGTATTTGTCCTTCATTATATTCTTCTATAAAATCAGGACAGTCCTATCAAGATATTCCCATCACAGTTATGATCAAGGATGACTTGAGTATGATTGTGGAAATGATGGGTTTCTGAATGGCCAAGAAAAAGTCAGAAAGGTAACAAATGCCACTCCCTAACTGTAATCACTGTTAACAGACTCCTGAGTCACCAAGCATGCTCTCTTCCCTCTGCTCTGCCAAAATTTCATAAGAAAGAAGAACTAAGGGTTACATTGAAAGCTTTCAGTGTTCCCTGACAGGTCTAAAGAGTAGTTGTTTGGCTTACAGTGATTAATGTTACCTATTTTTGAGTTTTAATGTGATCTTGCTATTTAGAAACAAGAGTGAGAACTATCTGTGTTTCTTAGACTGCCTTTTATAATTTATGGATATTTTCCACTCACAGCAATTTTTCAAGTCATCAAGCAAGTGATAAAGAATCCTGTAACAGTATCGTTATGAAGATACATAGATGATTTCTGAATATAAAAGATGAGTGGCCAGTTATCACAGGATAAAACTATGTAACAACTTGACAGTACTCAACTGCCCACTTAAAAAAAATATATAGATGTCTAGGTAATGAGTCATGCCCCAAACTCTTATAGATGGGATGTCAGCAAACATTTGCTTGCTCAGATAGAACTGATTGAGTAGAATATTTATAGATTGTTTTTGTATGAATGTCGTTTACATGTCATCAAAGAAAAATATAAGACACCTGGTATATGTCATCTGATAGTGCCTTGCCAAGTCCTCAGACAGACTGGGTTTAAGAGCACAGAATGGGACGTCATCAGGAATTGTGGCTCTGGCTCTGGCTCTAACCTGTTGGGCTACTTAAGAGGGAGAATTGGAAGTCACTTGATCTCCCCATCTCTCAATTTCTTCTTTTTAAAAATGGGAATAAAAATATCTTCTCCATTTCCTCTTTTGCAGAGCTACTGTGAAAGTGAGATCATCCTTGTGAAAATACTTTTAATTTTACCAAATTTGTTCTCCATAAAAATAAAAAGATACATTTCTTTTGAAAGCTAAGCATATATTTTCATTACTATGTTGCTGCAAAGGTTATTTTGTTTCCTAAATGACAATTCACGTGGGGCCATATTCAGGTTAGTTTTAGGGCTACTGACCTCAAGCCTATTGGTTAGATTGGGTATGAGTGATAAGTTGGGTGTCCCTCAGGTCCGGTCTCAAAAACCTAATCGCCAATTATAGAATTTCAAAGTGCAAGTGTGGGAGAGTGAGTTTCATGAAGAAGGAGCTTTAAAACTGCTGTCCTGTATGAAAAAATGTTCTAAAATAATTTTTTCTTTCTTAGTCATGGGAATCAAAATACAGAATAGGATACCTCATCATTTTGGATAAAATAGGGCACTCTACATAAAGCATTGCTTTAATTAGAGTTATTTTTATATCTCTTTCCTCTACCCCCGCATTCTTTGAGTCACTGTGTCCTACAGAATCTTCCTTTTCTGCATCTCTTACTTACTACTCCCTGTCTGCCTGTCTTAAACACCACCTTGGACCAGACTAGAATAATTTACTTCCTAGTCAATTCTCATTTTATAGTCTATTAAGTTCAAACTACTCAAGCTCTTGATCAAAGGTTTAAGTCTTTCCAACTTATCTTTGTCTTCATCATCCAGTAAGTTATCATTCTTGTGAAGCTGGTATCTTTACTACTCACAAACTGTTAGTTGCCTCTAGTGAAATTCTGCTATCCTTTTACCCTTAATTGCACTTTCTTTCTATGTATGAATTCATGCCTACTAATTCATTTCCTTCCTCACTTCTTCAAAGGTATTTGCTATCACTCCTCCTGACATTGCTCCTATCTCATGTCTGTGGTTTGCAAATGCATCTGAGACTTTGCTCCTTAGTGGGAGTTCTACTCATTCTAAGATTTCTCTACACTATATATAGAGTATCATTACTATGTTGAGAATTATTCAGGCATTTCAGATAGAGTCTCACTGAATACAGGAAA